GTTCCTTAGACTTAGGTCGGCGTTCCTTTCATTCGTGTCCGCTGATGAGGTGGCCGTCACAAAGGCTGGAGCGCTCTGCACGCGCCCTCGGGGAAGCAGGGTCAAGGTCAAGGGAGGTGCCTTGAGGCTACCCACGCCCTCAAACAAGTCAAGGGAGGATGCCCGAGCTCCCACGCCTGCTCAGCGGAATCCTGCACTAGAGCGGTAAAACGCGAGTGTAGGAGGAAGCGAGATGCGCAAGTTCAGCACGTCCCAGCACTACCTCTCCGGACTGTGCCCCTCCCCTGGGCGGCGGTCCTTCTCCTGCCTCCTGCTTCCTACTCCTGCCTGCCTCCTCTCTCCTCTTCTCCTGCTGTCCTCCTCTTGCATTCGCTCTTTACTCCGCTCTTCATTCGCTCTTCCTACCTCCTGAAGTCTGTGTCTCTGCTTTCTCCACCTTTCCGTGTCCTCGTCCGCCTGATCCATCTATGTCGTGGGGCGTTGGCCGTGCCTGGCCTGGATGGTGCTGAGCTGAGGGGCGGTGTGGCAAGGTGCGTGCGGGCTCTGTGTGGTGTCCCGGCGACCTGATCCTCGAACTCCTTCCTCCTCCTCGCTCAGCGTGGCTGTCACATGGGTCGCGTGTTTGCTGCCACTCACTGGGAGGCTGGGGCTTGCTACTTGGGGGGAGGTTGTGCGGTGCGAGCGTCCCTTCCCCCTTCGCCCTCTCCTCCTCCTCTCTCTCTTCGCCTCTCCTCCTCCTGATTAGCCTCTGCTCCTCTTTCTCCTCTTCCTCCCTTCCTCTTCCCTTTTCCCTACAACCCTCTTCTTCTTCTTCTTCTTTCTCTTCGTTTTCCTCTCTCTTCGTTCTCCTCCTCATCCTCTTCCCCTCTTGCTGCTTCCTCCTACTCCTCCCCTCTCCCTTCCTCTCCTCCTTCCCTTATTCTTATTCTTCCTCCTCCTCCTTCCCCCCTTATCCCCTCCCTTCTTCCCTACCCTCCTACCCCCCCCTCTCCCTCCTCCTTCCCCTCTTACCCGTCCACCTCCCCCTTCCCCTCTCCTTTCCCTTAACTCTCCTACCCCCTCTACCAACCTCCACCCCCCCCTTCCCTCTCCCCCCACCTCCACCTCCCCGCTTCCCCCTTCCACTCCCCCCTCCTTCCCCCTCCACCCTCCCCTTTCTCCCCTTCCCTCCCCCCTCCCTCCCCGCAATAACTCTCCCTTTCCTAAAAGCATATCACCTTCCGCCTTGAGACCTTCCCCTTGAACTTTTCTCGGACGGAACCTGTTGGAGCGGACGGGCGCCTCTGACCAGAATGCGGGATGAGGGAGCGGAAGAGGTTATGCAATCAGCGAGGTTTCTTTTTTTTTTTTTGGTCCGTGCAACGAGGAATAATTTCTGATTTTTTTTTTTTTTTTTTTTTTTTTTTTTGTTTTTGTTTTTTTGTTTATGGAACGAAGAGGGAATCTCTTGTTTTGAGCTATGTAACATTTAAAAAAATGTTTCGCTTATGCAAGAAGTAATGATTTCTGTTTTTGTCTGAGTAAAAATAAGAATCTTGTTTTTGCCTATGCAATTTAGTTATATAAAAAGGTTGTTTTCGATTATGCAACGAGTGATAATTTCTGTTTTTGTTTATGTAACGAATAAATCCCTATTTTGACATATATTAAATAAAAAAAATGTTTTCCTTATGCAAAATAAGAATCTATTTTGGCCTATGTAACGAGTAAAAAAATATTTTCGATTATGCAACGAGTAACGATCTCTGTTTTTTTTATGTAAACGAAGAGAAATCATTTTTTGTCCGTATGCAACGAGTAAAAAAAAGCTTAAGAAAGGACTAATACTTTCTGTTTTTTTGTTTACGTAAGAAATAAGTATCTATATTTTGGCCTATTGAACAAGTAAAAAAAAAAAAATTCCCGTAAGAGCAATCATTCTATTTTGGCCCATTTCGTTTATGCATCGAAAAAAGACCGTAGTTTTACAACGCGTAAAAAGAAAAATTCGCGCAATGCAACAAGTAATAATTTATGTTTTAGCTTATGCAACAAGTATGAATTCTTAATTTCGTTTATGCATTGAATAAAAACTCCGTGGTTTTGTTTATCCAATGAGTAAAATTTTCTGTTTTCGCTTCCAGATACAACTCATTTTTCTTTGTCTTGTTTTCTATGCTGTGTTTACGCTAAACGAGGTGGATAGACACGAAAAAAGATGAATCGAATACAAATACTAATTTATTTATAGAACGATGCTGATTTAACAGATATAATTATATGTAACAATATATATACAAATATAGATATCCAAATCATCAATAAGTAAAAAAACAATAAGAAAACAAAAGAATAAAAAAGATCTCCCACAAAAGAAGACCCGCCCCTTACCTACCAGCTTACCTTAATAACATTTTTCCTTCTTTTCCTTCCCTTCCTTAGGCTCACGTTCCCCCCTGACATGAACCACAGAGACGGGCGGTGGTCCACAGCCGAAGCCTTCCTCAAGCCTGCAGCCGACAGGGAGAACCTCCACGTGGTGTTAAATGCCATGGTTACTCAGGTATGGCTTTTTTTTTTTGGATTATTTGTTTTTGTTTTGGTTTGTTTTGATTTTGTGTCTCGGTTCTTTGTTCTCATTTTGTTTATTTATTTCTTGTTGTTATTTTGTTTCTCTATTTTTGTTTGCTTTTGTTTATAATATTTCTTGTTTTTGATTTTGTTTATTTATTTCTTTGCTGTTGTTTGTTTCTCTATTTTTTTTGCTTTTTTATATTTTCTTTTGTTTTGTTTTTCTTTGTTGTTTTTTATCGTTAGTATGTATTTTTTATCCATGTGGTATATTTCAAAGAGAAATATCCTATTAATGTCACGTTTAAACATCTTTTTTATTGTCTCTTTTTAATCTCACTTTGTGTTTTTTTTTTTTTTTTTTTTTTTTTTTTTTTTTTTTTTTTTTTTATTTTTATTCATGACAAAGTGATAAAGCAATATTGATATACTTTATTTAGATGTTCATTATACCACGTTTATAAGGAAGCATCATATGTTCAAAAAGGTTTTAAATTTTTACTCGGTACAAAATAGACTGAAATTTTTAACTAAGTGAATTTATTTGTTTTTTGCAGTTATTATTTGACAGTCGTAAGCGAGCAATAGGAGTGCGGTTCGAGCATGAAGAAGGTAATATTTTTTGTCTCTGTATTTATATATCTGTCTATCAATCTGTGTGTCTGTCTAGCCCCCTCCTAACTCACTCTCTCTATCTATCTCTCTAGATATCTATCTCTATCTATATCTATCTATCTATCTATCTATCTATCTATCTATCTATCTATCTATCTATCTATCTATCTATCTATATCTCTTTATCTATCTCTCTTATCTCTCTCTCTCTCTCTCTCTCTCTCTCTCTCTCTCTATCTCTCCTCTCTCTCTCCTCATCTCTCTCTCTCTCTCTTGTTATCATTTTTGGGGTTGTTTTCAGTACACCCCAACACAAAAGTGATTCCTATACTTCAGAAAAAAACAAACCACTAAATCCTAATTGTTATCTTTTTTTTGGGGGTTGTTTCAGTACAACCCCAGGAATAAAAACTGATTCTATACTCAGAAAAATAACATAAACACTAACTGCTAAATTGTTATCCTTTTTTGGGTAGTTTTCAGTACAACCCCAGCAACAAAATGATTCCTATACCTCAGAAAAAACATAAACTAAATCCTACATTGTTATCGTTTTTTGGTTTGTTTCAGTACAACCCCAGGAACAATAGTGATTCCTATACCTCAGAAAAAACATAAACCACTAAAATCCTACATTGTTATCCTTTTTTGGGGTTGTTTTCAGTACAACCTCAGGAACAAAAATGATTCCTATACCTCAGAAAAAAAACATAACCCCACGCATATCCTAGATTGTTATCCTTTTTGGGTTTGTTTTCAGTACAACCCAGGAACAAAAAGATTCCTATACCTCAGAAAAAATACATAAACCACTAAAATCCTAAATTGTTATCCTTTTGGGGGGTTTGTTTTCAGTACAACCCAGGAATTTAAGTGATTCCTATACCTCAGAAAAATAAACATAAACCACTAAAAAAATCCTTTTCAGTACAACCTCAGGAACAAAAATTTTCCTATACTCAGAAAAAAACATAACCCACCCTTTGTTATAGTACAACCCCAGGAACAAAAATGATTCCTATACTACAGAAAAAAACATAACCCACCATATCCTAGATTGTTATCCTTTTGGGGTTTGTTTTCAGTACAAGACAGCTCTGGCAAAACGGGAGGTGATCGTGTGTGGAGGAACCATTTCGTCTCCTCAAATCCTCATGCTGTCGGGTATCGGTCCGGCCAGGCACCTGCAGGAGCACAATGTAAGTGGGCCTCGTTTGACCTTGTTTTGCTTTTTTGTTTTTTTGTTTGTTTGTTTATTTGATGGGTCGTTTAGTTTTTTGTCTCAGTTCAGTTTAGTTTGTTTATTTTATTAGTTTAATTTTTAAGTTGAGTTTAGTTTTTTTTTTTTTTTTTTGTTTAGTTTAGTTTGTTTTGTTTTTTGTTTGTTTTTCTATGGTTTTGTGTGAAAGGTTTTTTGGCGAGTGGGATGGATGTGGAAACGTAATAGGTGAGAGTTTGGTGAGAGTTTGTTTTCTTAATGGTTAATCTTGAAAAAATATGAATATCTATGTAAATTGGCTATGTTGAGTGTGTAGGTATGTATGTATGTGTGTATGTGTGTTTGTATGTATGTAGCTGTGTGTATACTTGTATGTATGTATCTATGTGTGTATGCATGTATGTGTATGTGTGTATTGTGTACGTATGTATATCTGTGTGTGTTTGTATATATGTATCTGTGTGTATGCATGTATGTATATGTGTGTATTGTTGTATGTATGCATGTATGTATGCATATATGTATGTATGTAAAGACGTTTGTACACAGGCATCAACGTACACAGACACGAAAATACACACATCCGACGCCCACAACCAAACCCGACCAATCTTCCAATATTCAATTTCCAATATTCCCTCACGCCCGCAGATCCCCGTCGTCGCTGACCTCCCGGGCGTGGGTCAGAACTTCCAAGACCACGCCTCCTTGTACGGCCTGACCTGGACCACCACCAAGGGCACGTCACTCAGCCTCCTCACGCTCGCCAACCCTTTCTCGCTGAAGGAGTACATCTTCCGAAGACGAGGTGGGACGAAGGGGGTTCCTTAAGACGAGGGGTCCGAGGCCAAGGAGGAGGTTAAGGGCGAAACGAAAGATAAAAGAAATGGAAAAAGATTAATTGAAATAATTTATAGAAATAGCTTTATAGAAATAGTCTATAGTAAATGAAATAGCTTATAGAAATTGCTTATAGAAATGCATTGAAATAGCTTTATAGAAATAGTATTGAAATAGTTATAGAATAGTATTGAATATTTTAAGAAATAGTATTGAAATAGTTTACAAGAAATAGTAGTTGAAATAGTTTACAGAAATAGTATTGAAATAGTTTACGAAATAGTATTGAAATAGTTTATAAGAAATAGTATTGAAATAGTTTAGAATATAGTATTGAAATAGTTATAGCAGAATAGTATTGATAGTCTAGAGAAATAGCATTGAAATAGTTTATCATGTTATTCTCTTTACATAAAGATGTATAGATAGAATAGTTACATATAGATATATGAAAATATATATAATAGCAGTTAAGATGATAATTACTAGAAAATACAATAATAATGATCACTAAGAAAATTATATATATATATATATATATATATATATATAATATATATATATATATATATATATATATTATATATAATATACATATATATATATATATATAATATATATATATATATATAATATATTATATATATATATATATATTATTATATTTACTTGGTTGTTATTATATCATTATTATATCAACTATTATTATTATTATTTATTAAGAGAAAAAACCGCCTTAAACACCTTCACCCAACCCGCTCTTACCTCTTCCCTCCTCCCGCAGGCCCCCTCTCGGCGCCCTACGCGATCGAGGCCCACGCTTGGATCCCGGCGGAGGAGGGAGACCCGCTGTGGCCCGAAGTGCAGTTCCTCTTCATCGCTGGGACGTCGACGCTGGACAAGGGCATCGCCATTCCGGATCTGATTGGCTATGATAGGAAGGTGAGGGGGAGGGAAGGTGGTGGAGGGGGAGGGGGGAGGGAGGGGATGGAGGGATGGTTGGTGGGAGGGAGGGGGGGGAGGGGAGGGATGGGAAGGTGGGAGAGGGTTAGGGAGGAGGGGGAGAGGGAAGGGGTGAGGGAGAAGGTGAGGGAAGGTGGGAGAGGGCGAGGGAGGGAGGGAGGGGGAAGGTGGGACGTCGAGCTGGACGGGCATCGCCATTCCGGATCTGATTGGATATGATAGGAAGGTGAGGGGGAAGGAAGGAAGGTGGGGGGATGGGAAGGAAGGTGGGAGGGGGAGGGGAGGGGGGGACGTCGACGCTGGACAAGGGCATCGCCATTCGGATCTGATTGGTTATGATCGAAAGGTGAGGGGGAGGAGGGGGGGGGGAGGGAGGGAAGGTGGGAAGGGAGGGGGAGGGAGGGAGAGGGATGGGAAGGGGAGAGAGGGGGCAGGGGAGGGGAAGGTGGGATAGTAAGGGAAGAATGACTTTCCGGATCTGATTGGTTATGATAGGAAGATGAGGAGGGAAGGTGGTGGAGGGGGAGGAGGGATGGATGTGGTAGGAGGGGGGGGGAGGGAAGGAGGGAGGGAGGGTGGGAGGGATGGGAAGGTGGGAGGTAGGCAGGAGAAGGTCAGGAGTGAAGGGGGGAGGTGGTGGAGGAAGGAGGGAGGGAGGGAAGGGTGTGGGAGGGAGGGAGAGGGTGAGGGATGGGAAGGTGGGAGAGGGAGGGGAGGGAGAGGGTGAGGGATGGAGGAAGGGAGAGGGTGGGAAGGTGGGAGGGTGAGGGAAGAATGACAAAATACAACGCCATTTAAATGCATACAAAAATTATTATCCATGCTAAACATACTTTGCATACATTGTGTCTTTTACTATTGTCATATTTCTATTATCATTGTAGTCGGTGTTATCACGTTCCTGCAATCAACGTTATAATCCCCATAAGACTCTTTCTCTTACTGAATCCCTTAAAGAATACGACACTAAAGACTCCTAAATCTCTCTCTCTCTCTCCTGCTCTCATTCTCTTCACTCTCTCATCTCTCTCGTCTCTTCTCTCTCTTCTTCTCCTCTCATCTCTCGTTCTCCCTCTCTCCCTCTCCATCTGCTCTCTCTTACTCTCTCTCTCCCTCCTCTCTCTCTCCTCCTTCTCTCTCCTCTTCCTCTCTCTCTCTCTCTCTCTCTCTCTCTCTCTCTCTCTCTCTCTCCTCTCTCTCTCTCTCTCTCTCTCTCTCTCTCTCTCGCTCTCGCCCCAGCTCTACTACAAATACTTCACGCCCATCATAAGGCTCTTTTTTCACTGAATTACAAAGAGAATACGACGCTAAGGACTCTCCCTCTCCCCCACAGCTTCCACTACAAATACTTCACGCCCATCATAAGGTTCTTTCTCTCACGGAATAGCATAGAAAATACGACACTAAAGACTCTACTCTCTCTCTCTCTCTCTCTCTCTCTCTCTCTCTCTCTCTCTCTCTCTCTCTCTCTCTCTCTCTCTCTCTCTCTCTCTCTCTCTCTCTCTCTCTCTTCTCTCTCTCCTCTCTCTTTCTCTCTCTTTCTCTTGCCCACAGCTCTACTACAAATACTTCCCGCTCATCATAAGGCTCTTTTTCTCACGGAATAGCACAGAGAATACGACACTAAAGACTCTACACTCTCTCTCTCGCCCGCAACTCTACTACAAATACTTCATACCCATCATAAGGCTCTTTTTTTCACTGAATTACATAGAGAATACGACACTAAGGACTCTCCCTCTCCCCCGAAGCTCTACTACAAATACTTCACGCCCATCATGGGTCAGGAAGGCTTCAGCATATCGCCCATGCTGACGAGGGCCAAGTCTCGAGGCTCCATCACCCTGCAGTCCAACAACCCTAAGGACCCCCCGGTGATTGACCCTAACTACCTGAGTCACCCTGATGACGTCAAGAATATCATCCGAGGTCAGAGGTCATTTCTTGTTGTCTTTTGAAGGTTTTTGCCTTGTTTGGATTGGTTGGTTCAAGAAATAAGTATTTTCGGGGATGGGAAGACACGTTTCTCGTTTTTTTTTTTTTTTTTTTTTTTTTTTGTCATTTGCGTTCAATCGTTTGATAGATTTGTTAAGAGGTCAGAGGTCATGGAGAGAAAAAAATTTCTAGTAGTTTTAGTTGATTTTTAGTTTTTGTTTAAGAGTTTGAAAGATTTATTGAATTTAATCGAAGGAGATTTGAATTATCCGTAAAATAAAGCTCACTTTTGGTTAATTTTCAGAGATGAAATACAATTCCAGTAGTCTTCTTAACCCTTAGTCTCTTTTAGTTTAAATATATAATAAATATCATGAAAAAAAATAAGTTGAAAGAAACTGGAATTAACCCATGAAATAATTTTTTTAATCATTTAGTAAATCTATCATAAAAAATAAGTTAAAAGAGACTGGAATTAACCCATGAAATAATCTGTTTTTCAGTAAATCTATCATTAAAAAATAAGTTAAAAGAGATTGAAATTAACCCATGAAATAATCTGTTTAATCATTCAGTCAATCTATCATAAAAAAATAAGTTAAAAGAAGTTGGAATTATCCCTGAAATAATCTTATTATTTTCCGGAATTTAGGCATCAAGTTTGCTCACGAAGTCGCTAAAACACCGGCCATGCAGGAGTACGGGACACGCTTCCACGATAAGGTAAGGGAAGATCGACCTTATGGGTGCAGGTCGTTGAGTTACCTGTGGGGTCTCGGCTCGTCGTCGGCTCGGGGCAATAGGCTGCCGCGTGGAAAGATAAGAAACGATTTAGGAAAAATATTATATTGATAAGGCGTCACTGGCAGATTAATAAATACCTTTGTTTATAGATAGATAGATAGATAGAGATAGATTGATTGACTAATTGATTGATTGATAGATTGATTAATAGATAGATAGATTAATTTATTGATTGGTAGATAGATTGATGGATTGATAGGTAGATAGATAGACACATGGATAGATAGATAGAGAAGATATAGATACATGGATAGATTGAGATATATAGATGGATAAATAGATAGATAAATGGATAGATAGATAGAGATAGATAGATATTATTATCATCATTTTATGATTATTGTCATTGCTAAGACTTGCAATCTTCTAAAAGCCTTGTTATGGTCATTAGTGATATCATTATTTTCCATATTATTTCTGTTATCATATTTTTTGCTGTCATTACTATCATTTTTATTATTATTATATCAACAGTACCATTAGTTAAAACAACTTTTTGCCTTTGCTGTTGTTATTCATATCATTTTTGTTCTGATAATATGGCTACTGATCCTCACTTATCTTTGGTGTTATATTTTATCACACTCTCTCCATCTCTCTTATTTATCTCCTTTTCTCGTTTTTCCTTCTTATCTGTACTTATCACCTGTCTTTCTTATTTTCGTTTCCCTTTCCTTCGGCTCCTTTCCATCTTCGCTTCCTATCTCCTCTTTCCCTTTTCTCTTCGTTATCTCCCTATCCCTTCCCTTTCCCATCTTCCTTTCTCCATCTTCGTTCCCAACTTTCAATTCTTGTCTCTCTTCTTCGTCTCTCTTCCCTCTCTTTCTGCCTCCTATTTTCTCCCCTTCTCCCCTTCCATCGACACCTCTCCCGTTTCATTTTTCATTTTCTTCCCCCTTCTCTACACCCTTCTTAATATCTTGTTCCCCCTCTTTCTCCCCTTCTTCCTCGCCTCTCATTCCCATTTTCCCCTTCCCACCTCCCCGTTCAACCATTTTCCTGCCTACCCCCTCTTCCTCCCCCTCATCCTGTCTCCCCATCTCCCCCTCCCCTCCCTCCCACCTCCCAATCACTCCTCCCTCCCCACCCAACTCCCCCTCACTTCTCCCTCCCCATCCCCTTCCCCTCACTCCCCCCTCCTTTCACCTTCCCCCCCTTATCCCCTCCTCTCCCCACCTCCCCACCATCCCCTCACTCCTCCCACCCCAACTCCCCCTCTTCACCCTTCCCCTTCCCCCTCCCTCCCTTTACCACCCCAACACTCCCCCCTTCACCTTCCCCCTCACTCCTCCCCTTCACCTTCACCCTCACTCCTCCCCCAGCCTCTTCCCGGTTGCGAGCACGAGGTCTTCGCGACTGACGCCTACTGGGAGTGTTTCGCGCGGGCTTTCACCGGTCAGACGTACCACCCGGCCGGCACGTGCAAGATGGGGCCCGTGAGCGATCCTTACAGCGTCGTCGACCATAGGCTCAGGTCAGTAGTGTTGGGGGGGGGGGGGGGTTGTGTGTGTGTGTGACGTATGATTCGTGTATGGCATTAGGTGTGACGTAACTGTCTAAGCAAACTCCTTATAAAATAACTCATGTAATAATGTATTGCTTAAAAAGAAAAAAAACTAACGTACAGAAATTACGTACAGACAATACATATAGCCCAGAAGAAAAAAAAAAAAAAAAATACATAAAACGCTAAAAACTCCATAAACCGACCACCAAACCTAACCCTCTTCCTCTCCCCCTTTCCCCTCAGAGTCCGCGGCGTGTCCGGCCTCCGTGTGGTGGATGCCTCTATCATGCCCCTAATTGTCTCCACCAACACCAACGCCGCTTCTATAATGATTGGGGAGCGAGGAGCAGATTTTATCAAGCAGGAATGGGGTGTCGTCTAATCCTGCGCGCTTCGTCAGCTGATCCTGCGCGCTTCGTCAGCTGATCCTGCGCGCTTCGTCAGCTGATCCCGCGCGCTTCGTCAGCTGATCCTGCGCGCTTCGTCAGCTGATTCTGCGCGCTTCGTCAGCTGATCCTGCGCGCGTCTCGTCCTGATCCTGCGCGCTTCGTCAGCTGATCCTGCGCGCTTCGTCAGCTGATCCTGCGCAAGAGCTGATCCTGAGCTGAAAGGCTCGGTCTCTTAAACGGATGATTCGACTGTGTCATATGATCCTCTAAAGGTGCTATCTGATCATAAGACGGCATTAACTTATCTACGTTAATATTATTAGAGAATGAGGGATGTATGGGAGGTATTTTAGAGACGTGGCGAATGGGAAAGAAATGGAAGAAAATGAGTTTTGGAGAATATTCCAAAATAGTTTTTTTTTTCCCGAGTCACGCTAATGAATTGGAAAAATTACTCGACGAAAAGAATTCCGAAAAAAGGTGTCTAGTTACCAATAGTAAGAATTATCAATGAAACTTAGTTCTATTCTATAAGGAAAAAAAAATTAGAACTACGAAACCTCATGAAATACCACAGATATACCTCATCTGCGCATAAAGGGGAAATTCACTAGTCCACTCATACCGCATAATCACAAACTACACCTCATACCACATAAATACCATCGTCCTCAAGGCATGGTATAGATATAACTTATTTATTGACTACCATTAACCACGGGTAAACAAAGCCACAGAGGAGTGAATAAAGATACATAAGAGAACATTTACGTTGCCTCCTCTTAAGTGAATCGCTGGTGAAAGTGACGAAAAGAGAGAGAGAAAAATTGGACAATAAGTGACGTAATGTAAGAAAAAAATATCTAAACCGGTAGAGAAGATCTTTGTTTATATAGATATTGCAAAAAAAATGATGGGTTTCAGAATATGAAGAACAATTTAAAAACATGACACTTTGTGCACTTACTCTCCAAAAGAGAGGGGAAGAAATTAATTGTAGAGTGATATTACTAAATATAGATTTTTAATGTTAAGAATTATTATTATTACATTTCTGTCTTTAATATTCACAATGTATGTATATTAATGTATGTATGTACTATATGTATTATCACTATTTTTATCAGTAGTATTATATTCAATGAGTAGTTTTTAAGCCTAAATAAATTATATTATATTATTTATAATTTTCATTTACTGTACACATGTATCAGTATATATACATGATGTGTGTATATAGATATAGATAGATAGATAGATAGATGAATATATATAAGATATATATATATATATATATATATATATTATATATATATATATATATAATATATATATATATATATGCAATATAAATATATATACACACATTCCATGTGTGTGTGTGACTGTGTCTGTGTGTGTACTTCAACATCGCGAGTTCGTCATTGTGGTCACTAAATCCACAACAGCCATGACTCAGCACTAATATCCTTTTCATCAAAGAATTCATGTATTTTTATTTATGAAGAAGTGAAGGGACATTTATCATATCTGATAACTGTAGACAGTATATCCTTTTACATTATAAAAGATATGTTTACAAAATATATAACAATGCGTGACCCAGTATTTGCCGCCCACAGTTTGTCATGACAGGTCGTTCGTGCATGTTGTTCAACGTGTAAATTGCTGCACAGTGACTGTTTTGGATGTTTGAAAATATATTCAAAATGTCCTTTGTTCAGATGACGGGTTTATGCTTCCATGTGTGTTTATATACCGCATACTTGTGTGTGTGTGTGTGTGTGTGTGTGTGTGTGTGTGTGTGTGTGTGTGTGTGTGTGTGTGTGTGTGTGTGTGTGTGTGTTTATATATATATGCATATGTATATATGTGTATGCATATATATGTAAGTTGGATCCTTCCCTTCAACAGCCACCTCAATATGAAGTGTTCAGTCTATACATGTACCACTTTATAACAATTTTTCAATTAATTTTAGTTCAATTTGCTATTGACATCTTTATATACTAATTTCTTTTCAAATGACATCACCATGGCCTCTCGAGAAACCCCGCAATATATAATTAATTTTATGGTGACTTTGCGTCAAGGTAGGTCATCGGGTGCTTAATTTGCCCTATACATATACAAATGAAAAGAAGTACGTGGACAGCAAAATCCCAACTAGATTCGATTTTCATTTATATAAGCAAAAGAATCATAAGAAACAAAAGACAGACATAATATTAATATGGAAAATTATAAAATATAATGTCAAGGAAAAATAAATACTATCTTAGTAGATACAAATCATTCTATATTATCTTGGCCTATGCCAAAGGGACACGGTAAATATTTTAATAAAACAACTTACACGAAAAATGAACTCCTGCCCAGAAAATAGAATATGAAAATCTACTTCTGTGTGTGTGTGTATATGTATACATATTATATATATATATACACACACATATATATATATATATTATATATATATATATATATATATATATATATATATATATATATATATATATATATATATGTGTGTGTGTGTGTGTGTGTGTGTGTATATGTGTGCGTGTGTGTGTGTGCAAAAGAACCACACTGACTTAAAGAAAATTCAAGATCATATTGCACTACTAAGTCCTGTCTACCTTGGCCTCGAAGCGAGTGTAGCTTATCACGGGCAATCATAGTCCCTTCATATGAAATGCACTGAACTCTATATCAATACTTTGATATATTCCAGATTATAATGAAATAAGCATTTATCAAAAGCACATTACTTAGATAAAGTATGCGTTTTATATTGTCATGATACGCACTTTTTCACTAGTAATACTTGTTACATCCTTACGCTGCGCATGTGCAGCCATCTAGCGGTAAAGTTGACAGTTCTATGAATCAGATGTCTACAACTTATCACAATACTTATTTTTCATTTCGGAAGTGAAGTTTGTTTACAATGCTACTTAAATTTCTTTTTTGGTTAATGCCATAGAGAGCAACGCTTAGAGAGAGATAAATAGACGTCATTTTATAGAGCATAAGGAATAGAGCCATGAGCAACACAGGTGCAGTTCTTATTGTCCGTTTTCTATAATTTGGCTCGGTGTTGATAAAGTGGGGCACAATGGGGCTTGTCCCTCTGCCTAAGAAATAAACAGAAGGTAGGAAAGGTTAGGTCTGGGTTTTTGGGGGTCGCATGATGCCCTGGTTTTGGGACTTCGCTATCTTTAAGAAATACCGGAATTCTTAATTAGATTATTACGATCTCAAGGATAACTCACAATTCAGTGAAATACACAATAACCGTGTTTCAGCTGCAGAGATCTGTCACTTCTCAATCACTCCTTAAGGTAAAGCCAATGTATATATTTAAAAGTACAGAACATCGAAAATATCTTTGGTTGAAGAAGTCGGCGCGGAAAAGCGGCCTTGTTTATATAGTGACTGAGGGAGGGGGGAGGGGGGGGACGGGGGAGATGTGGCGAGCATCCCAGGTTAGGAGCCATGTTTGTGGTAGTTTGTTTGCTTTATTAGGATGGGGTTGTGGGGATTCGTTCGTTCGTTCGTTTCCTCAATAACGGATTGAATCTCCCAAGACCGAATAACGGATTTTTTTTTCGCTTTTAACCCTTTAATATGCCTAATATGAACGAATTCCCCCATAGCCCCTTACCCCCTCCCCTAAAAAGAGAACCCCCATCGGATTTTAATAGCAGGATAGCTATCAACAATTTTGATGATAGTGATGAGTAGAAGGAGAAGAGTAACAAAAGAAAGAAGAAGACGAAAAGTAGAAGCAGGAAGATAAAGATGGATAAGTAGATGATGGAGATGAAAAAGGAGTAGATGATGGTGATAAAGGAGAAGTAGAGGGAGAAGAAATATGGCGGATAAGACTTTATTCCCATCATAACCGAGTAGAATATTGCTCTCTCTCTCTCTGCATTCCTGACGCCCAGGGTGACCGCTGATCTCAGGATGGGAGTGTTATCTTTTAGAACACTCGTGCATCGAAGAAGCCGAGCAGTTGTTATTTTTCTCTAAGCGAGAGGTTTATTTATGGTGAAAGGTGTATATTTGCCTGAGATAATGAATCAGCAGCGTCAATGTTAGGTCACGATACCGCTGTACTAGGGAAATCGTATACTGACTACAATCTATGTACTACTAATTATTGATTGTTATATTCAAATATTTGAACTAGTAACTGAATTCGTTTCAGCATAATATAGTTGTCCAATTCACTTCAGTATTACTTAGTACTTTTATTTCTATTACCTAATTTATTGAGTAATTTAATTCGGATTATCATAATCACGATTATATAATAATGATATGAAGAGTTCAAAGAAAACGAAATCTCTATTATAATCACAGAAAACTATTTTGAAGGGTAACTTTTTCATTACACAAAATTACTCGGGACCTTGTATAACTGATTTAAAAAGTGTAATAACAAGCTAAAAATAATAAAAGAAATCTCTAGCATCCTTAACAAGACCCTTTGTATGTGTATTTTTATATGTGTAGACGTGCGAGTGTATATGTGCAAGCGTATGTATGCATATGTAAGCAAGGTATATAAAAATGGGTATTAACATTTCAATTTACTTTAGTGAACCAAAAACTGAGAGTGAATTTTTCCTCGATGATTCAGACGCTTTTTGTGGTATGGAACATATATGTATGGATCATTTTACGCCTCGCAGTTTGCGCAGTATTTTTTGTTTCCTGGATATATTCCATTAACGAAACAAGAAACAATGTCTTTCCATAGCTTTCAATACGACAGTAAGACTTCAAAAAAAAAAAAATTAATTAATGTATGCATTTATATGTATATAGATATAATTTCATACATGTATGTATGCATGTACATATATATAAATACATATACGTTCATGTATATGTATGTATATATATATATATATATATATATATATATATATATATATATTACATTTCTGTATATACATTTTATTACTTATTTATATATTCTATGTATATATATACATTATTTATTTATTCATATTTTATATACATATGTATCATGTATATATAAATCATACATGTAGATATCCATATGTGTATATACAGACACACACAGACACATATATCTGTGAACACACGCATATGCAGACATACACACACACAGACGCACATACACAA